TGTAATTCTAAAACTTTAAAAATAATTTTAATTAAAATTTAAAATACAAATGATTTATAAATTCGTCAATCGCTATGCTTAATGAAAATTATTATAATTATACTAGCTGACCCGGCAGACTTCGTAATGCCTCAATCGATAAATAAAATAAGTAAACTTTTGTATAAAATAAACATAGAACAAACAAAAGGAATCCGTCCGACTGGGGACACATCACAGGATAAACAAAATTGCAATTTTTATTTAATTCCGAGCATTTTGATATTTATCTATCTTACAAACCTTCTCTGGACTTTAACAAATAATTCAAGACCAAAATTAGCTAAATCGGTCCAGCCGTTCTCGAGTTTTAGCGAGACTAACGAACAGCAATTAATTTTTATATATATATAGATAAAAACAGACTTCTAATTTCAAGTTGAGCGGTGGCATTAACGTATTCATTTTACTAAAAAGTAAACGCATAACTCTAGTCTGGCCGTGAACTCATTAAAAAAAGTATTCGAACAAAAATAATTTATTAAAGCATCCTCCAAGCAATCCGAGATATCGAATTCTTCGAACCGAACTCATAGGATCATTGCTTTCATCAAACACAGGTCACTTAGTTATATCTTCACAAACGTTTAAGCAAATACCCAGTGCCGGATTAACCATGTAGCAAGAGTAGCAATTGCTACGGGCCCCGCGCGAACGGGGGCCCCGCATATTTAAACTCACTCATCTCTGCCCGAGCTTAATTTTTTGAGTGACTTATTAAGAAAAAGTTGTTTGTATAAACGTGTAGAATTTCAATCAGCCTGATAATCAGCTCTACAAAAAGTCTGACGTATGCAAGCACTCTTTCTTAGCCGACACAGTGTTTTTTTACCACTTTATACTGAAGAACCCATAGTAGATCAAGGGCTCTTTGAAATAATTTGCTACGGGCCCCGCGCTTGCTTAATCCGGCACTGTAAATACCGAATCAGACGTTGAAGTTGAATAATAAAATTTCACCAGACCGATGACAGTTCAGACCCGTACCATGTGTTTACGATGTCGGCAGCAATTCGAATACAAAACGTGTAATCGGTTACGTACACTCGTAATGAGCTTTCGCTTTTAATATCACGTTTTATGCTAACGAAAGGTTTTTTATGCCTCGAGCTGGTTTTCTTAATGTCGACTCACAAAAGACGTTTTTTTGCGACCAATGACTTAATAAAATCCGGTTGCAGTGCTTAATAATATGTCTGTATAAAATGAATGAAGGATGTTGATCGAAAATAGGTCATTTTAATTTCTTAGAAGTTTACATGCAATACTTGAATAGTTGGTGATATTGGGTACATGTCCAAGGCAAGAATCCAATATGATAGTTTACGTTTTTTGTTGGATAAAAGTGAAAGAGAAAGAGAGAAAATCAGAAGCTTGTTGTGTAGCTTTTTTCGCGGATTAGGAATGTTCATAAATGTGACATTGGTCGGTGAGAGAGTCGGCGGTAGGACGTTTTTATTTGTTTATTACTTAGATGGCTGGACGAGCTCACAGCCCACCTGGTGTTAAGTGGTTACTGGAGCCCATAGACATTCACAACGTAAATGCGCCACCCACTTTGAGATATAAGTTCTAAGGTCTCAAGTATAGTTACAACGGCTGTCCCACCCTTCAAACCGAAATGCATTACTGCTTCACGGCAGAAATAGGTGGGGTGGTGGTACCTACCCGCGCGGACTCACAAGAGGTCCTACCACCAGTAATTACGCAAATTATAATTTTGCGGGTTTGATTTTTATTACACGATGTTATTCCTTCACTGTGAAAGTCAATCGTGAACATTTGTTGAGTACGTATTTCATTAGAAAAATTGGTACCCGCCTGAGATTCGAACACTGGTGCATCGCTCAACACGAATGCATCGGACGTCTTATCCGTTAGGCAACGACTCAACCGGAGTACCACGATGTAACCTATTTCTACCGCGAATCAGTAGTTCCGTGCATGAAGCCTGGTACAATCGTTATACAAAAAATTTGAGACATCGCTCTCGTATCTCAGGATAAATGACGGCATTTATGTTGTGAAGAACGTGTACTCCTGTTATCATTTAACATTAATGGGCTTTGAAAACGATTAAAACTTTAACTTTCTATTGCGTAGCTTATAACACTGCTAAATGTAGGTCAGGTTAAGAAAAAAAACTTCCACAGCTTAAGAACTAAACAGAAAACACTCATCCCGATATTTTGGTCAAAGTAATCAAATTATTGTATTATCATCGTCCCTTGATACTTGTGCAAATTTTGAATTTAATCGAATCTCTTGATATTTGTATTAATAAAGTAAAAAAAAATACCTTAAATACATAAATATAGACACAGACCATGTCAATAAAATCGTTACAAAAACAGTTTAATTACGTTTTAATTTAATTTAAATTGCGAACATAATTTCTTGTCATTAAATGACTAAAAAAGTAATTTTCATCATTTATTTCAATATATCAAACGTTAATTTTTATTATACGAGTATTGCACAATGAAATTTTACAATGACGATGCAAAATGACGAATCTAATTTGAATTCATTCAATTTCCTAAATAAGAATTTATAAATAGATATGTAGTAGATATAATTACGTTCATGCCTAACACGGAGCCCGTAGTGTTCGGCAAGGCTCTAGACAAAACTCCGAGCACGAAGAATCGGGATCGTGACCAAAACCAGCGGACTACGGCCTCGGGCTCTTGCAAAACCCCGTGGAAATGTATTGTGCCTCAGTCTGAACTAAATACACGATTGGCAAACAGATTCGCGAATACCATTGAACCGCACGTTCGCGGAGAGCACACATTGTTTGCCGTTGTAACGATTACTTGTTCATTGTCTATTGTGGTACGACTACAGTTTTATTCAAGATAGGCATCTGTGAAATATTGCTTGTCGCAACAGAAATTGTCATGCACGATAAGTACCAATAGGACTAGGCGGATAAGCTCTCCAAAACTTAGCACACTTTCATTAGCTTGATCCGTAGCTGTAATCCTTATACATATGTAACGGAATATTTCAACTTTTTTTTATCAAATCCAATACGTCGGATATTTTTCCTCTTATTACACTGCATTATTCTTTAATCGTGGAAGTTATTTGTGAACACGACCTAAGTACGAATTTCTATTGAAAAATTAGTAAGTGGCTGCAACATTTGGCCCTCAGTATAGTCGCTTGATATAAGTACACTGGATCTTATTCTTAGGTCATGATGATTTTTTTGTTTTTAAACTTAAATGCTCTACCAGATCTTAGTAAATTCTTTCAGATGAGCTCATCCCCCAATCAAGGTCAGTAGTAAGAATAGCCCCTCGAGGCTACTGACAAAGCCCTCATGGCTAGTAGGTAGGCAAAAAAAAGTTTATGGACACTAAAGCGATGCCAACGCCAAGCCGAATGTATCGCCAAACATTGTCATATACAATGAGAACCGTAATTAAACTTTTCCAATGCATAGCATTAACCATGTTAAGGCACGGAAGCTAATTAAATCTAACCATGAATGATCAAGATAATAATCAAAGACCTAAGCCGTGTAGGTGATGATGCTAATACGTAGCTCATAGACGCGGTGAGATCGAGATTACCGCCTACGTACGTGAGCGCTATGCGTATGTCAAGGCCAATTCGTACCCTTCCGTGGAAGGTACTTCGCCTGACGACAGCCAGTTTCCGGGTACAAAGCGTGCCTTCACGACATCTACGCAAACACGTTTTTGTTCTCTGCTACGACAATAGATCCTTTTTCCATACAGTCGTTTTGTTTGTTCATCTGCTCGACATGATTTGGTCATTACGATTTCATATTGCGATTATGCAAAGATAAGCTTAAGTCAGAGGTTGTCAGTGATTAGTCTGTCTGGCCATTAATCAGAAATCCGATACGGCTAGGTTTTTCGGGTCATCTCGAATCAATACTAAAATGTCCTGTCGTCTATGCGTATATAGCAACTTCAACTATAAAAATATCTCCCTTATTCAAGTATTAGATAATGTTGCAAGCCCTAAGGTACAAATCTGCTGTTAGTTTTTGGCGTGAAGCAACTCTGCTTTAGGACAATGATTATGGTACAGTCGTTGTCTCATAGTGGACAGCGGTATTCAATATGCTGTCTACAGTGTCCGGTGCCGCTAATATTAAGAAGGTCGTAAGCTCCCCTACCCATTGTCGCTTAGAAAAATATACCACGACATTACAGTTATTAGGTCGAAGTTTCGTTATGGTTGTAGCCACCATGTCATGTCACCTGGGGCATCGCGTCACGAACACGCCCAGTCAGTTTGCGGCGGTCACCGACACACTTACGTAACGATATGGTAACGTTGCTGGTTGACCAACGAGACAACTTATCTTACAGCAACATCTGAAATAATCTCTCGGTTTATCTTTGCTCAGCGGGTGACATCATAAGCTAGTGTTTGCATTTGACCGTCCACCGCTACGTAGTTGCCGAAAATATTGACACACTGACCTCCGGGATACAAGGGTAGCACATATTAATGATGCTATTTACTTGTCTTAGTTATTGGACGATTTTTTTAATTACAGAAAAGAAATAGTGTCATAAAGTGGGGGCATACGAAACGCAGTATTCTGGTCATTTATCGGCTGTCTAAAGTGTTCGTTTTTTTTCCTACCAAATCGTTGGTAGCCTACTAGCTACCAAGGCTATTCAAGCGACGTTTGGATAGCTAAGTGAGCTCAAGGCTCAACCTGAGAGAATTTGGTAACACTAGCCCTAGCAAGAGCCCTACCAACGTTCAACACATTCACACAAACGTGTGAATGTGTTGAACGCGAGCTACATGGTAGACGGAGTGAGGGGTGTAAGGTTTTTTTCGTTACGGAATTTCATGATTCGGTCGCCGCGCTCAAGGCCCGCGATAAAATCTATGCAATAGCTTAAAAAAACTTATTTACTGGCACCGGCATAATAATAATTGTTGTTGATATTTGTCCACAGATGCAGGCGTGGTTGGTGGTGGCTTTCGTAGCTGCGCTGTCGGTTCTCGCGAACGCGCAGAAGCCCGGTCGTTTCCTGTCGCTTCCCGTTGCGCATAAATGTGCTAACAGTAAGTAATAGTCACATATTTCGCCACTGAAAGAAAAAGAAGCAAAAAAAAAACGATTTGAATTATTAAATGTCGCGTAGCATATATTCGTGAACGTACAAGAAAGCGGAAGGCGGACAATATACCGGTCAACGTTCTCGTCGAACCCGTCGCTTGCGACGAAGGCCTCGGTGAGTAAATTAACCCACAGACACAGCCCAGTGAGTTTCTCGCCGGATCTTCTCAGTGGGTCGCGTTTCCGATCCAGTGGTAGATTTTGCGAAGCACGGCTTTTGCTAGGGTTTGTTTTAGCAACATCGTCAGGTTTGAGCCCCCCGAGCTCACCTACTAGTTAAGATTAGGCTGATATAGTCTCTCTAGAGACTCTAGACCATCAGCTTAGGTAGGAAAAAAAAGTTGGTGTTGTTGTAAAGCGAAAGTTAAATAGATTTTTATAAATTGACACCCCGTACATTTCAATCATTACTTATATCGTTTTAGTTATACTCACATAATCGGTTTGAGATTTAAAAGTTTGCAAGTAAAATTGATTTGGATATAAATAAATGAATAGAGTATGTTGCTACTACTAGAGTGAGGTGTAGTCGTGCCACTATACTGGGTATTTATTCAAGGACACGCATCAATTGTAACAATGCACCTAACGCTTTTGCAATAAGAGACTAAATAATGAAGTTCTTTTAGAAATCGATGTTCATTTTTTTTTATACAAGATAGGTACCCATAATTTAGGATAGATAGGTACACAAAATTTGTAAGTTGGAAATTCTTCAGCCTCGCGGTCTTACGCAATGTCAAGTGTTCATGTTCAAGTGCCCTCAATGGAAACCTACAATTTTTTATTTTTACGTTGTTTAAACACTTCATGAATTCTCAGAATAAAACTGGCGCCTAAACTTGGAACCGAAACACGACCGGTTCTCTAAATTGAGCCAATCTACATAAATGTACATCAGTTCTAAATCCGGACTTTTCTGTAAATAAATCTCGTCATTTATGTGTGATTCTGTTTTTGATTAAGTGATTTTGTCTGTATGAAATGATCACATGCATTGTGTTTCAATTCAATAAAAAAAAAACTTAGTGTCGCAAAATCATATTTAGGTATAATGTTAGTCTTATTACACAAAAACAGATAAAACTAATTTATTTTTATACTTTTCGTGGTCACAGATGACTAAAAGGGTTATTCGTCGAAATATTTTGACTATTGTGCCAACTGCCGTCTAACTTCTTTATTTATTTTTATTGCCTTTATAGGCAGACGAGCATACGGCCCACCTGATGGTGAGTGGTTACCGTCGCCCATGGACTTCAGCAATGCCAGGGGCAGAGCCAAGCCGCTGCCTACTGCTTCTAAATATAATCTAATTTTAAAACTCCTCGCGTTGTTTCCTCACTGCTGAGGATCGTGACCATCATATTTCGACAGGATTTTACTTCTTGTAATGTCTCTCCAGCGCTTCTGATCATTGGCCGCATGATGGGCTTCGTGGAATGGGATCTCTAGTGTGGTGCGGATTAGATCCAACCACCTTGTCAGACTGCGCCCGCGCGGTCTTTTTCCCTCGATTTAAATTTTAAAACTAAGTTAAATTAATACCGCGTAATTTGACATTTCGATGGCTAGCTCCAAATATGACTATCCGTAAATAATGATCGCGGCCTACGTTAGTATCGAGAATCTTTGATCATAAAACGAGTTCGGATTATGCAAAAGGAGTAATAAATTAAATTGACGATTTACATTTTAGGTTAATTTAGTCTTCATCGGAATGGACGTTAAAATATTTTAAGTATTTAGCCCTTCTAATTAATTGATCACTTATTTAAGATGAGCGTTGATTTAATTGTTCACTATATATTTTCATGGACGTAACGAATTTGCAGAATTTCACAGATACCTTATTGTTCTGTAATGCAACGAACTCTGGAATTAATCAGACTGCGTTAGTTTTTTTTTGTCAATTACATGCGTTGTAGTTTTGTTTTTGTACCTAACTATTGTTTCATTTTAAACAGTGATATTGTCTACATCCACAGAAGTCGTGTTGCTCATCTAACTCATTTAACATGATCAATTACATAACAATTGAATTATTTAATAAAAATAAAAATAAATCATTTTAAATATTGATAATAAAATTATGGTGATATTCTATATGGAACAATATTTTTTAGTTTTCTATTGAAGCTCAATTACGCAAAGGAAGTGTATGCACGCAACCCAACAAACTTTTATCCAAACAATAGAACATAGACAAAATAATTTATTGACCTTCTTAAAAAATAGTACACACAACATTTTATAACTTACTTTTTTAACATTAATACATAAAATTCCGGTTTTAACGTAAAATAGTGAAAAGTTCGTTCGGAATACGCAATCGATTTATTATAATTTATTAATTAGGCTTACATTGCCCTAAAGAAACAATTTCAAGCTTCTAACAATTTCCTTTTCTATTGGGAACGGTGAACGTTCTCGTGTCGTTGACCTGTAGAACTGAGGTCACGACCTGCGAATCGAGGTCACGGCACCCCACACCCCAGCCACCCTGTTCCCAATCTCTAACTAGCTTCATTTATAAATCAAGTTATACAGAATACAGGAGTTTCCGAAATGAAGCTCAGCGTTAGCGCTGGTGATCCCTGAGACGATATTATTTAAAAGCACCGAAACCGTAAAATTTTGTTAATAACGTCTACGCGCAATGTACGTAGCTGAATTCAAAATCAGCTGATGCGAAGGGTCTACGGCTATTCGCTTTACATTGCGGATTCATCAAATATGAGATTAACAGGAAGGTGGTAGGACCTCTTGTGAGTCCGCGCGGGTCATACCGCCCTGCCTATTTCTGCCGTGAAGCAGCAATGCGTTTCGGTTCGAAGGGTGGGGTAGCCGTTGTAACTATACTGAAGCCCTTAGAACTTATATCTCAAGGTGGGTGGCGCATTTACGTTGTAGATGTCTATGGGCTCCAGTAACCACTTAACACCAGGTGGGCTGTGAGCTCGTCCACCCATCTAAGCAATAAATAAAAAAAATAGGGCTGGGAGCTCGCCCACCCATCTAAGCAATAAAAAAAAAGCATAATTCGAATATCATATAATATTGGTGTTATAGGTGCACACTTGTTTTAAGACAATACATTATCGCCTTTTTAACTTCGAAAAGTCACTCGTATTTTGTCTCTCCAAAAATAAAAAAGATTTTGCGCAAATGTGAGCGTATTTACAGACCCCTAAGGTTTTTAGGTCACCTTAACAGTTAGGGATTCATTAAAAAACAGTGTGTTAAAAAAACAAATAACCAACCGTATGATAGTAGTAAAACATCTATACCTACCTACATCCTGGTTAGTGGTGGTAGGACCTCTTGTGAGTCCACGCGGGTAGGTACCACCGCCCTGCCTATTTCTGCCGTGAAGCAGTGGTGCGTTTCGGTCTGAACGGCGGGGCAGCCGTTGTAACTATACTGAGATCTTAGAACTTATATCTCAAGGTGGGTGGCGCATTTACGTTCTAGATGTCTATGGGCTCCAGTAACCATTTAACACCAGGCGGGCTGTGAGCTCGTCCATTCATCTAAGCAATAAAAAAATAAAAAATAAATCCTTTGATAATTTTCGATTACTTAAAAAAATAGGTAAATTAATTTATCGTTTCACGGGATTGTTTTGAATTCTTAAATCAGAGTATTGTATGTATATGTAATCCCGTAAACCAATTACAATAATTAGCTGTGTACCGCTAATTATTTATTCTGTAAAAGATTTAACAATGAACACTAAAATCTACTAAATAGTAACTTTTTTCATATAAATGTATTTTAATTTGTTTTTATAAAAATATATTTCGACCATACTGTAAGCCTCTTACTTTTCATATTTGATTAAAACACCACAAACGTGTATTTTAAGTGAAAATAGGAAATAACTTTCGACTTGTTAGAAATTTCTCTTCAACAATGCGTCAGTCATGTCGGCAACTTTAAGAGTTCAGGTATATAAGTTATTTTATTATAATGAGATAATCTTTAAAATGTGCAACACATAAATCATACAGTTAGTACAATATAGTAAACTTTTTTCAAACATAGAAAAAAGTTTTGACGTGACAACGTCTTTTTATAATTCGATGGAGCCGGCTGCACGCACGAAAAGACATGACTCATGCGGCGCTACCTCGCTCTGAGGCGTTCCATTTAAGGCTAGAAGTGTAAGCGAGAACGCGCAACGAGCGACAAAGCGTTCGACATCTGTCTCTCTCCTACTTGAGTGAGCGATGTATCCGCGTGGACAGCTGCTATACAATAATACATTTACATGTTTTCGTCAAGTATGAAGTTCAGTGAAAAGTGAATGTGGTTTCAATTGTTTATAGCAACGATAATTGCGATAATTGAAAAATGAAACCATTCCATCAGTATTTTCTTATGACGTTGTCACGTTCAACTATCGTCAGTAAACCGACTTTACAGACAACCGATTTTTTTATCAACTCGAATGATCATTCTCCTTATAGTTTCGAGATAAACATTTTTGCAAAACTTGATTTGTAGATAAACGAAATTGAAACGCGCGTCGTGAACTGTATTTCACAATATAAGTAGGAGTTCCATTTAAACATTCCCAAAGCAATTATGTAAGTGTCCGTCTAGCATACGATTACCTATTCTACGATTTGTAAACACTCAATGTGAACTTAAGCGTTACTTATCTTCAGGTTTTGCAATGGTCAGGGCCTTGACAGCGCGCTGCATCTCCACAACACTGTTGTGGATACGAATTTCGGTTCTGTATGGTCGTTAAACTTTTAAGTCGGACACAGTACATTTGGGAATTCAAGTAATGTCATAAGGCGGATGACGACATTTACATTATACTGTCTTTGGTTCACTTGGTCCATAGGCTCATTCGTCAATTCACTGCTATAGAAAATTTACATTAAATAAACTAGAGGATGTAACACCAATGGAGCTATTATCATTATATAGCTATTACACACGACGTTCAGGCCCTTAACCAGGATTCCCCGTTCAATGGGAATCAAAGACACATAATTAAATATTTACCTACAGAGATATTAAGCATCCAGCCAGAGAGCAAACAAACCTGTTCATCACACGAATGTTTGCACGATCTGGAAATCGGACCCACGACCCTCAGCCTCGGGTCGTTGACTAATGGACCACCGAGTCAATCAAATATTGACGTCAAAAGAATTAATTCTTGGATTAGTCACTGAGTAATGCTAATGTTCATCTTGACGAAATCAGCTCGTGCTTAATGTGTATGTATCAAAATACTTGAATCTCTCGTTCTTAATTCCTAATTATTTTCCTAATTTAAAAACAAGGGATATTTGTTCTTTTGTTCTTTTGAAATATATATTGTTTATTGAGCACTTAAATTTGTGAAATAGATACTTTACTAAAAATTGCCTTTTTATTTTTCTCCTCTTTTGAAGTGTTTAGAACAGAGAGTTGAAATATAAATCAATGGTTTAGACATGAATTAATAATAATCAGATTTCATTGTTGCGGCATATAATTTTTCAACAGTCAATTTTTGCGCAACGAAATTTTATTGTCCATCTTAAATTTATGTACCTATCAATTGTAGAATTGGGAATCGACATAAACAGAGGAAATCATGTAGTGAATTAGAATTAGAAGAGGCTTCTAGAAAAATCTTAGCTCTGTAAGTGATTGAATTTAAAACTTTTGTATTAGTGATGATCAGCATACATCAGTTTCGACACATCCTAGACATCTCGTAATCCGTTTATTATTCTCATCACAAAATACTGTTCAACACTATTTTATAGCGACTAGACGTTCATTCAAATTACCTTAATTTAAGTCAGTTTTGCAACAGTAACCCATTAAATAACACGATTTTTCAAAATTCCAGTGTTTCGAATAAAATAATAATGAAAGACCTACAGTACAGTTGTTAAAAACAATTTGTTTTCTTCTGACTTCTCTTTGTGAATAGTCACAGCCTTTATTATAACTGGTGGATCGGTATATGAGCGTTCGTCAGTCTGTCAGAACGCAAGGTCTCAAAAACAATAAACAGCCATGCCGCGTGTGAACTTTATCACATTCACATCGTAATCAAACCTCATTACTGATATCTGTACAGTTGCCTGTAATTATTCATTTCGCAACCTGACTCGCAACGAGATTGTATGAAATTAACTTAAAAAGCTTTTAGTTCTTTACAGTTCAATCAATAGTTATTACGGAGTTAATAGATTTAAATTTCAACATAGATATAGATTCAAGGAGAATGTTAACTGATATAATTTCAAAAGTGTATATTTCATAGTTTAATTTAAAACAATTCGAAGCCATCTAGAATTTCATCGAAGTTTCTGGTATAATTCTAAAAATCGTCGCAATATGGGTGTTGGCCTTGACTTGTCCAGGAGCCGATTGTGGGTCCGAATGTTGGTTCAATTAAAACATTCCTAATTTATGAGGAGGTCCTTGGTGTACCCATTCGTAATTCATAGGCTGTGACGGGCAGATATCAATTTTGAAGCAATTACGTGCGACCTTATTAAGTTCATAAACATCTACCACGATGAATGGACAATTTTGTGTAATGAAATCAAATATAAAAACGGGAATTTTCAAATAGCTGAGTCTTGAACCTCATACTAATATGAGCGGCGGTGGCATCATGATGTCTACGGACTGCAATAAACACGATGTAGGTATATCGTAATTAAAAAAACATCTTGACTAAATACGTAAATTAAATTATAAAACAATTTGTACACGCTCAAAGTTGAAGTTGAACGCTGAAGTTGTAGTGGCCTAAAGGATAAGACGTTCGGTGCATTCGTGTTGAGCGATGCACCGATGTTCGAATCCCAGGCGGGTACCAATTTTTCTAATGAAATACGTACTCAACAAATGTTCACGATTGACTTCCACGATGAAGTAATAACATCGTGTAATAAAAATCAAACCCGCAAAATAATAATTTGCGTAATTACTGGTGGTAGGACCTCTTGTGAGTCCGCGCGGGTAGGTGCCACCACCCTGCCTATTTCTGCCGTGAGACAGTAATTCGTTTTGGTTTGAAAGGCGGGGCAGCCGTTGTAGATGTCTATGGGTTTCAGTAACCAATTAACACCAGGTGGGCTGTGAGATCGTCCATCCATCTAAGCAATAAAAAATAAAAATCGCTCAAATATTAATTGATCCTTTGACACGTAACATTACGAACCAGCAAAGACACTTTGCAGATATACCCGACATTCCCGGGGTCATGTAATTAACTATTATATGATAATAACCTCCATCCATCTTTACAAACTATCACATTTAAATTGTTAGCAGCAAAATCGTAAAATCGCAGCCCACTAAGTTTCTCGCTGGATCTTCTCAGTGGGTCGCGATTCCGATCCGGTGGTAGATTCTGCGAAGCACTGCTCTTGCTAGGCCTTATGTTAGCAAATTCTCCCAGGTTGAGCCCGTGAGCTCATCTACCCGTCAGTGCTTAGCTGGAATATCCTCTTACACTACCAGCGAATAGGTACGAAATATAAAAAAATCAATGGCAAATGTTGCATTATTCTGAGATTTTAATGAACCACTCATTTATGTTATTTTACGCACAAGGCAACGAATTATCAGCAATAATATAGTCGTAATGATATTTCTCGTAGAAATATATACATAGTAAGTATCCGGTCGGTGATCCTTGGCCCAGTTGGCGCCCGCGTGACTGACGCATCTGTTTGCTTCGGCGTCGGTCGACGTCGCCGCAAACCGCGTCGCTGTTGCATTGCAACATCGTCTGCCAAAATCATCAACGGCATACCTAACGCGACACGAGCTTAAGGTTACGTCCTTAAACGTTAATTGAAAGAAAATTAATAAAGCACTTTCTTTTGCTGTTCTTAAAACGATTCTCACATGTACGATTCTCTCCATTTTCACTGGTGGTAGGAACTCTTGTGAGTCCACGCGGTTAGGTACCACCACCCTGCCTATTTCTGCCGTGAAGCAGTAATGCGTTTCGGTTTGAAGAGCGGGGCAGCCCTCTAGACTATACTGAGACCTTAGAAATTATATCTCAAGGTGGGTGGCGCATTAACGTCGTAGATGTCTATGGGCTCCAGTAACCCCTTAAAACCAGGTGGGCTGTTAGCTCGCCCACCCATCTAAGCAATAAAAAAATAAATTTAAGCAACTATTGATATGTAGGTACTTATGTGTGTACATGAATATTTACGATTTTAAATTAGTAAACAAGGTAAACTAATTTAAATCATTTTGAAACTGTATCAGTGTCGCTAAAACATTCAAATAAACCACCTAATTATGGAAATCTATCAGTTTCATAAGATTTACCTACATATTTAAAAAAAAAAACTTTTTGTGACTTTTATCTTTTCCAAGTTAAGAAATTTTATGTATATTGAAACAATTCAACTACAGCGTGTGTTTTTGGTAACAGATACTTAGTCTTGTTGTTTTAACGTTAAAATTAGTAGAAATTGCAAACTTTTTTTTCTTAAGCCAAACTGTGAAATGTTATGCGGTTGTAAAGATTATGTAAGATGTTCGTTGCACAAGTAACCTTACCGCTTTACTGCACATATACAATATATGACTACCCAATGTCATGACCGTGATTGATTATGATGAGTACATGACCCGTGGCGTGAGGGTCACCGGGATTGCTGTTCCCTGTCATCAAATTATTACCAAGAATATGAGGTTAATTGCTATTGCATCATTTGGTTTTTTATTATGTACGATAATGTTATGTTACGCTTGGTCTAATCAAATATAACCATCGTACCTATTTCTGCCGGCAAGAGGTCACGCCTGCAGGTTTGAACAACAACTGTTGTACAACACAATTGAAACTTCGACCACATGGCTCAAAGTGAGTAGCTGCACGTTTACTCAGATGTCTATGGTCTCTTAACACCAAGTGGGCCTTGAGCTGATTCAACTCGGTAGGCATTGGTAGGCAGCGGCTTTGCTCTGCCCCTGGCATTACTGATGTCCATGATCGACGGTAACCAGTCACCATCAGGTGGGCCGTATGCTCGTCTGCCTATACGGCAATGAAAAAAAGAAAAAAAACCCATCTGTGCAATCAAATAAAAATGTTTTCTGTAATACCGCCTTGTTTAAACAGGACCAAAGGAATTCTTTTACCAAGGACATAACTACTTCTACAGCGGTCACGTTCCCGAGCTAGCCAACCGGAAAGTAGACTGGTTGGACGGACGCAACATTTGCCGTGAATACTGCATGGACCTCGTCTCTATGGAGACCCAGGAAGAAAACAATCTGATCTTCAAGCTCATCCAGCAGAGTGAGTTATTAACCTTCAACGTTTAACGATTACTAAATGTTTATAAGTACTGAGGACCGTTAGTTTAATTTTACGTTTTGATAATCAAAATCAAAATTTATTTTATTACATTATTCGGTCATTGTAGTTTCATAGCACTTGAGACTTGCACAATTTGCAAATTAAATACGGCTCGGTTACATTGAATGCAATAGCCGCGTCGACATCATCTATGCAATTAAAAAAAAAGGAATTCTCAAGATGGGTGGCGGTATTCTTGTTGTGATGTATATAGTCTGGTAGCCACTTAACACCAGGTGGAAATATAAAAAAGTAAATACAGTGTAAAAACCGAATTAATGGAATGTCTTAAGAGTTACGTTGAAAGATTCCAATTCTAGGACATGTCAAAGTCGTGATAAAAAGGAACTGAACGTATTTATAGACCGAATAAGATTAAAAACAAATATTTACATACAATCATTTAATGCAATGAAAAATGAACACACACACACACACATACTGATGAAATAAACAATTTTTATTTTAGACGATGTTCCCTACATTTGGACATCGGGACGTCTATGCGACTTCAAGGGATGTGAAACGCGAAAAGACCTCGAACCCAAGAACATTCTCGGCTGGTTCTGGTCCGCTAACCGAGAAAAGATCTCGCCCACTAATCAGGTTAGCTAAAACAACTCTTCGCATACTTTTTATTTTCATTAATCGTCTTTTCGCATTAAAAGTGTACAATTTCCAAAAATATTCGAAATTGAGTTAAAATGCGGAATCATTTGGTATCACCAGTATTTTTCTCATAAATACTGTCAAAAGAGCGTAGTTTAGTTTTAGTTTTTTTTTAGTTTACTTATATTTTGACTACCTACTAATAACAAAATTAATACATAATTTTATCTTACTTTAAAAGACAGATAATGTAACTGGTAAAAAACTAAAAAATAAATGTTGCAAAGATGATTAATATTATAAATATCATATTATTATGTTAAACCTTTAAAACACTCTCCTGTAAAATTTAGTAAGTTTTGAGATTATACAGTTTTAATGCGAGAAGACGAATATGTAAGTCGGAACCAATTCCTATTACATGCTCGTTAGAAAATACCAAGCCCGAACAATATTATGAATTGTACAATACTTCATTATGAAATATTTAAAACACAAAGTCGAATAGGTATGTGAAAGTATTATTTGCATTTTGAATAACCGTAGTTGAACGAGATATGTAAATACATAGGTACAGAGATCAACGAGACTCGAAACTTTTCCTTTGTAAATTCAAACCTTTATGATGATTTTTTATTTCCGTTCGCAATTCTTGCCACAATCAAAAAATCACTTTAACGATAACCATTTTCTGTTTAAATAGATACCGAACCGTTGGGGCTACAACCCTTGGTCTCAGACCGGGCACAAGAAACAGCGCCAACCTGACAACGCAGAGTACGATATCAACGGTACTTCGGAGTCTTGTTTGAGCGTGCTCAACAACGTTTACAACGACGGCATCGCCTGGCACGACGTAGCCTGCTATCACGAGAAGCCCATCGTATGCGAAGACTCCGAGGAATTACTGAACTACATCGCGAGCAATAATCCCGGTCTCCGTCTATAATTTCAAATCCCGGAACTAATTAGATTTCACGATGTTTTACAGTTACCATAATTTCTCATAAAACTTAAAAGATGTCCGGACATGTTTCTTATACGCCCATACATTGAGGGCTTACATCAATCATATTTATTTTAATGAAATACATGGTCGTCGTTCTCAAGCAACATGAACATTTGGATCTCTTAATCGCTGCCTCTAACTTGGTTACGAAACCATTACAAAAAAACAATGTACCTTATTTAAGTATTAATATTAAGTATAATTACATAATAAGGAGTTTATTATTTTATATTTGTATATAAAATAAAAATAAAGAAATAACAAAAACGCTCGTTTTATTTTAAAACAAAATATGGTGTTAGTATCGAGAAACAATATCACATTGTTGTCATAGTCATTTTAGCTACTTAATTAAAACAAACCTCTGTATTGTCATACTGGATTCATGAGAATCGAATTCGCGAATTAGTTTGAAACAAGAAAACTACGAACTTTAAAAATAACTACGACTTTGAAAAATAATGGACGGTTTTGGCAGATAATTAATAGTAATTAATACTGATTTGCGTGTAATAGTGACAGATTACAGTACAAAATTCGTGGAGTGCGTTTGTCTAAAAAAATAATGTCAAAGGAAAGTACTCTAAAGGAACACCAATTTCAAGTAATGTTTTTTTTTTTGGTTTTAACAACTCTCTCTCTTTTACTGATTTTTAACTATTCTTTTGATACTTCGAATTACGTAAACTTACCGAAATCTGAACTTAAGTGCCATTACAAATTGCCAATCAAAATTGCCAATGTCAATCAAATCCAAATTTCCGTACTTAATGAAGAAAGAAATTCTAAAGTACAAAAATTACAAATACCAAAGCTTAAAAAATACTATCCATATTCAGAAACAAAACAAAGTCGTGTAAATCAACTTAAAAAAATCAAATGTGTAGCAAATCTCGCCCGGTGATGCTGATATGGTCTCTAAAGATCATCAGCTTAGGTAATAAAAACTAAAAAGAAAAAAAATTAACGATTTGAATTTAAGAGACATCGTAAGTCTTGGTGAGTTACTGAGTAATTGCATTAAATACGCATGCACATAGCAGTCTCCGGCAATCTTTATTACAACCATAACGTTATTATAAACTAATCATCAGATTGATGTAATGCTAATGTCGCCAAAACTTTATGTAAATAAATCCAAAAAGAAAATAAACGAAAAAATCAAACAAAAATCAATATTTATAAAATAACAAAAAAAAAAAACTTAAATAAAAACAGAGAAATATCAATTATGAGTAGATCCTAATCTGGTCGTAGCTCTTCCGATTGGTTTAGCATTTTTGTATTTTTCACACATTCTAAGATCTCTGATTTTATTCAACAATAAATTCAAAGCATTATGCTCCTGACCCGCTATAGTAATGTACATATTGGAGTACATTTCTATTTCTTCGAATGTTAATGTGTATATTGTTTTCTGTTCCTTTAATTTTGCGTTGACCACAGTGCTGCCATCTTCCGAAGCACAATCGGACTTCCTGGCTTCACAGATGTCAAGAACCTTACCACAAATACTATTATATTCTTCTAAAGACAAATTCGTTGAAATGTTAGGTATGGTTACATTTGGTAAAGGTTTTAGCAGGCACGCACGATGTCGTCTACGGTTTGAGTATAGAACCGATAGATCTAAAAATAAATTTTTTTACTGTTGTGATCTACATAATAATTACATTTTTTCTTATTCTATCAATACTTACTTTGAATGTAAGCGCTTTCATTCTTTTCTAAAAATACTGGCCATCCTTCTAGCTCGTCGACAATGTTTACGAGAGAACTACATCCGCTTGCTTCATAATACAAATTTCCCAACACCTAAAAGGTTTCACGTGTTTTAATGTAATCCTTTATGTATATACGAAATTTCGTAAAATTCACTTACTACGTCGTTTTCTTTGGTAGAAATAACAGCCACAGGAACAAAATAAAGCCGTTTAGAATACTTTATGATCTCTTGCATTTTTTCAATGGCACCTTTATTCCAGTTGGTACAAATCTGATTCTCAATCTCACAACTTTCATTGATTCTCTGAAAGCAATATTCAACGTTCGTTCCGTGTAATTACAATTACAATTGTAGGAAGGATCGATGCGGCCTTGAAATTTTATTTCCCATGGCTACTAAGGTAATTGGTGATATGGGATAGAAAATCTTAACGATAATTAGCTATCTCGCTATTAAGCAGAAGATATACGAACTTTTTTTCATTCGTGTATGGACAAGCTTTTGGCCCTCATGGCGTTAAGTGGCCAGCACTGAAATTAGACATGGCGACGTGAAATCAGTCACATCCAGAGACATGGCCAAAATCTCAATTGTACTATACCATGAATATCCGATCATTAAACGGGTTTCAAACAGGCCATGACTTCGCGGAAAAATTGGCAGACTAGTGAAACCTACCCCTGTATTACGTGAATACGTCTGTCATCACCTAATTGCGTAAATAAAAAAAAATGGTTTGATTAAAATCACAAGGTAATTAACTATTAGTTTCGTATTTCCTCGATAAAAACTATGGTGTGTCATTTAATTTTGTACCTTGACATAGTCGAATACTTTCGACGTCTTATTCTTCAAGCCAGGACGACACGAGATTCGTTCTGTTTTCGATAATTGTGCATATAATGCTAAACAGCCCTAAACTTGTTAAAATGTAAAGGCAATTTATTGGATTGAGATATGAAGAATAAATAATAAAATAATTAACCTGTTTTGTTACTTTTAACAAAAGATTAATTCCTATTTGCATTTTTTACCGATGATAGGACGTCTTGTGAGTCCACAGGGGTTGGTACTACTACCCCGCCTATTTCTGCCGTGAAGCAATAATGCGTTTCGGTTTGAAGGATGGGGCAGCCGTTGTACTGTAAAAACTGATACCTTACAATTCATATTTCAAGGAGGGTGGTGGCAGTTACGTTATTGATACCTATGGACTTCAATTATTACTAACACCAGGTGGGCCGTGTGCTGGTCCAAAAATTTAATTTTTTATTTATTAATTTAACTTAAAATTGATATTATCTTTTAGTAAAAAAATGTTTCAATCTATCACAACTTTCAAATTTGTTTTTTTATGCACGGTATTAAAATTATGCCTTGCAGCGCCATCTAGTAATAGCTATTGTCAAACAATTCGTATTATAGTTCTATATAGGTAAGATGGCGCTAATTTCATTAAGTTTATTAATGCTATCAACAGTTTTAGGGGTTTTTTCTACAGAACTACTTAATATTAAAACCACTTTATCCAAACTTAATACGTACAAAAATAATACATATTATTACAAACTTATAATATTTTCTAATAATTTATTTGGATGTATTGGATTAAAAAAGAGGAATGTTTGATTTAATTTAAATAAATATTAAAATCTATAAATAAACTGATAAAAAGTTAATTAATTTATGTTATAATGATTCAATACACATTGGGAATGAATTACCTATTTATTGAAATGCTATTTGATGACATTTTGAATGCACATCAAATGAGATACTTTTTTACAAATATCAAATAATATCAAAGAATTATTCACACAGATAAGTCAGTTTACCATCATTAAATTTATTAAATTAATTTAACATAATAATATTTATTTTGTTTATTAGAATGATAATTACTTATAAAAGTGCAACTTACTTTATCCAGAGGCATGACTCCATGTATACTGGCTTCAAATACTTTAGTTGGCAACTTTTTGTACTCTGTGGGTAGGCTTATAAACACAGTTTTTTCATTAGGTCTTAAATAAATACCAAAATCTATTAACCATATTAAGCACTGTGATTCCATAGTAATTATACCACGCGTCCACCTGCTTTGCCATAATACTGCGACATACTGTTTATCGAAAAAAAATTCAATTAATGAAGAGATAAAAAAGAGTTTTCTAGTTTAATGTACGCATGAACTTGAAACTTGGGTAAAAAAAATCTTACTTGGCCGTGATTGACTTTGGATGGATCGATGCTACTGCCCACATTTTGAGACGAAAGTATTTGGTCATTTTCAGGTAAGTTAATTTTCTGACTAGCCTCAGGCATACAAAAAAAAGAAAAAGGGTTTATAAACGTTGTTACGTTAATATTCATTTTGTATAATAATACACTGAGTGAGAATCGGTACCGCACAAATAATAATTCGAAAACTGTCTAGAGTACTTATTATTGAACTAGCCACAATTCACATAACATTTCGGTTGAACTAAATGCTTACGTAGGTGAACTTTTAAATATGAATTTTACGAATACCTACATTAAAATACCTAATATCAATTTCTTATTCGGTACAATTTGCATATATCGGACTTACTATTTTCGCGCTAAAAATTTAATTAAGGAAAATCAAACTAAAGTAAAAAGATAATATTTTAAAAGACGTTTTTATGGCGTAACCACAGCGAGGAGCAAAAAATTAGTACACCGCCATCTATTGAATATTACAGTAAACTTTCCCTGACAAACATAAAAAGCATCATTTCATTGACAGATACTTTTCGTTATCGAAATTATTGGAATTTCAAACTAATACGTCAGAAGAAAACGTTTCCTCCATGTATGTATTGTTTTATTTTTATTGCATTTCAGATTAAGCATAGGTACTGTTTATCTGACGGTGAATGCTCAAAGTCGCTCATAAAGGTTAGCAATGTTAGAGATATAGCCGCCTAGCGGTGAGGACTCTCGCCAAACCATGGAGAGATATAACGCACAGAAAGCACCATGGAAGGAAGTTCATACAAAGCCGGATGGTACATCCAAAAATATTTAAAAAAAATGCGCTGTGGGTAATCAAAGGTCTCAAGCCTTCTCAAGATGTCCTCAGCTTAGTTAAGATTGGTGCGATTGTAAAATGGAGATAATGAATCTCAAATAATTCGTCGCAGCGCTCCCAGTGCATTATCAAGTAAAAACACCATGCGAGACTCATTTATTGATTGCATACACGTGCGAACGAGCTCATAGTCCAACTGCTGTCTTCACTTCAGTGATTACTATGTGCTTAGTGCGAGTTTTTTAACGTTCTCGATAACGTAAAAGTTAATCCAATTTTGTATGCAGTTGGAACAGCGCCCCTAGCGGCAAACGTATGCAAACGATCCCATTCCATACAAATATGAGGTAACTTTTACGCTATCGAGAACGTTAAAAAACTCGCACTAAGCACACTGGAGCCCATAGTCATTACAACGTAAATGTCGCCGCCGTCATGACATGAGATCGGAGTCTCAATATTATAACGCCGCCGCGCCTTACAAACCGAAACGAACGACTGTATCGCTCAGAATGGCGATACCAATTCAATACCAATGCTGAGTTCTCTTCACCGTTCTCTCACTACTGATTGCGAGCACATGTGACTTTCTTCCATAGTGTTTGGTCGTGGGTGATATGGACCGCATGGTATAGAATACCATCAACCGATTTCATAACCAGATCTGAGCTGGCGTTATGTCCACGGCGCGCCTGTCTTCTGCCTGGTGAAACCTAGTAGTTAATAACCTGGAGCTATTCCATATACTCACGGACCAGTAGGATGGCATACGGGTTGAACAACAATGACTCTAGCAAGAGCAGTGCTTCGCTGAATCTACCACCGGATCAGAATCGACCCATAAAGAAGATCCGACGAGAAACTCAGTGAGTTCTGTCTATGGGCTAGTGAGCACGTCCAACTCTTCGTCGTAACACATAAAGCTCTGAAATGAACTCCCTTCTATTGTATTTCCAGAGCACAAAACCTGTTGTTATTTAAGCGTCCTGAAAAGCGCCCGTGGCTACAATTCATCAGATGGTCCAACACTCGTAAATATTTTTTAGATTTTTTTATTGTTTAGATTGGTGGACGAGCACGCGGCCCACCTGGTGCTAAGTATTTACCGGAGCCAAAAGACATCAACAATCTAAATGCTGCCACACATCTTGAAACATGAGTTCTAAGTCTCAGTTTTTAAACCGCAGGCCACGACGGCTTCCAAGTCGAACTCTCTCTACTTCAGGTTGTCTGGAGGAGATCGCTATGAACGTTAAGTACGTCATGCTCGTTGTTTGTTCGTTAAGTTTTACTTATGGTTAATTATATGTTGTAATGTATACAATGAAGTTGTATGTAAATAAATAAAACACTTTAGATGCAATAGTGGTAAATGCGTTACGTACACGAATAGTTTGTAGATATGCCTAGTGTTTAGATTTGCTTGGCTACTTTACTTCCTATCTTCAGGTGAACGCAATACGTTTAGTTCAGCTTCATAGCTGAGACACTGAGGAATATTTTTTGTCGTACCATTCCGCCTCGCTACCAACATTAATATAGGTAGCACGCCCGGTATAGACGCTCCAAGGTCTGAGCGCATATTATATCTTCAAGTCTAGACTGTCGTTGGTCTCGACGCGTTTCTATTAATGTCAAACAATCATCACGAATGCTATGCTCTAACGATATTATGAATGCCCCAACATAATGCTTATAACAATAATTACTTAATTAACATAAGCAATTAATTCGGCTAATTGAGTAAACTGTAAGCAAATATTATCATACGAGCTGTAAAATACTCTTCAGATAAGGATTTCTTTAGAGCTTACATAGAAGTTCTTGTCTTGTTTAGTTGCGCCGACTGGTCGGAATAACCGGTCAATATACAACGAGGTCGGTTCAGGTAGGCGTCCTCGAGGGTCAGGTAGAGGTGACTGGCGAACAGTACAGAACGAGATATGGGAAGGTGTCAGGCGGCGTCGCTGATGTCAGTGGAAGCGGCGAGCGGCAACTCTCCCGACGGCGACAGCGGACGCACGAACGGAATGCAGCGGCCGCGGCGAGGGGCGCGGGCGGGGGCTACTGCTGCCGCGACGACGCTCGGTGCTGTCCGCCCGCCAGTCAGCCGCGCGCCACCGGTACGAGTGTTGTTCCAGCGCAGCGTCAACACAGTTTCTCATCGTGCAGGTATGTACTAATATGACACTTCTTAATTTTTACTGTTTATTAACGGAAGCACGTGAGGTTAAGACGGGGTAGCGAAAGCGCGCCGTATAAATACCGGTCCGGTTCTTGAGGTAGTCCTTTCAGAAATAGCTGGTGGACGTCGACATCGCCGTCGCCCGCTTCCAACCCGGCGGCCTCGTAGCGGAGTCATCGGCGCGATGACCCCTCTTGTTTGGCAATGTGAGAATCCCTAAATAAGACCCGGTCATCGCTTCTGCGGCTTTTATCAGTGTTACATATTTATTGTTTGCCGGCGAAGCGGTGAGGTCAGCAGGCGAGCGCGGTGATGTGCGCCTTATCGCGTGGGCCGTAGGGACGTAGCGGCAGTCGACAACGGCGCGGGCGCTCGGTCTCGGGCTTCGGTCTTGTCTTTGCTCTTGCGACGTTCAAGCACCTACTATCACACAAACAAGTATAGTAGTAGCGTATCATATGCGATCATTTATTAATTACCACCAAAAAATAGCGTAACGTAGCGTTTAGGTATTTGAAAAATATTCATAACGTAACGCGAGATTTGAAAAACAAACAGCCCGGCAATAAAGTGCAAAGACAGAATAAAGGTATCGTATATGGTAAGGCATCGTATATATGCATCTTCCACAGAGTTGCTTTAGAGTCAAGGTCAATGTTATATCATCAACTGTTTCTCAGTTATTGACAACAGTTTCATAATAGCGTGTGTCGGATTTGAGTTACGTTTTGAAACGCATTTTTCAAAATTTTACAATATTATATTTCGAAGGCCCTAGGTGCGGCTCTTACCACAACTACAATGCTATGACACAACTCTTTATCGAGTTAGAGACTAGTGGTTGAGCACAACTACGTATGTTTAGATAAAGCGGAAAACGACAACGTGACTACGCTATCGGCCAACAATCTGTCGTAGAACTTCTTTACGAAATATAATGAAACGCACAATCGTGAATCTTCTATTACTTATTAAATCATTATCAAAGTACTTCTATATTACGTGAAATACTTGTGAAATGGGCGCGGGTTGCGCACTGACGAGGGATCCGGTACGCGCCCGGTGTTGTCTTCGGCAGCAGCACGATGCGTGTTAAAAAACTTAGAACACGCGAACTTCGCCCTTAACGGACACGCAACACGCCCTCATATTCCGTGACACCCGTCATCACTTAGTACACCCTAGACGCATCGCTCAAAATGTTCACGACCTCGTGCCATTTCGATGTACGCTATTCTAGCATCTAAAGCTTGAGTCGGTAGGAATATAACAGCGTGCACACTTAAGGTCGTTAACAGTGTTTCGTAGCCAGGATTTTGTCGAGGCCCCCGACGCACAAGAGAGTGAAAGTTGGGGTGGTGGGTTGAGTAAGTAGGGTGGCGGCGCTCCCTGCAGGATCAGGCGACCGGGGTCTTCCAACTTGGATTTGCTAAATCTGCTGCTTTTACGTCGAGGATGTTGAAAAAGAATTCTCGCTTAAATCGGATAACGGTTTTCTGAGACGTACAATTCAAAATTGATTCCAATCAAAATAATCAAGTTCCAATGTCAGACTCGAAGAACCAACAATAATGATATTATTTGAACTAAAAACGTTGTGAGTAGTTGTACGGACAGCTTTTAAGAATTTACATCACGTTTATTCAGAATCGGTGTAAATTAGGATGCCGCGTCGTAATGATTAGTGCCTCCTGAAACCTACCCATTGGCATTTATGTAAAAATGCTACGTGTCTATCTACTCCGGTATATTTATACACAAATACGTTGAGGAGGAAAAGGAGAACGAACCGTAGATATATAGTGCATATAGGTAATCCCATGGGACAAATATTCCCGGTCATCTTTTGATAAAAACATGTTTAATTCTAGTATTTTCTTGCTGACTTGGCTTAAACAAAGGTAATTAGATCCAAGACTATGTAAATTCTCGAATAATGCGCTTTTTGCAGGAACTATAACGTTCGCATCGTTGCTTTGTTGTAAGATATATGATTACCTACGTACGCTACTGTGGTATGTATGCAAGAAGCTGTACCTATAGAAACCGACTTATAGGGAATTATGTTGGTATGTAGGAGGCTGTGAATCAGAAATTAAAGCGCACACAACATCAGAACAAGCTTAATGGTCTGATCACATTATCCAGCAACTCTGAACACAACCAGAAACTAATTTACTAAATTAAATTTCATTATTTGAAATGCGTAACTATACTTGAGACTTTAGAACTTATATCTCAAGGTGGATGGCGCATTTACGTTGTAGACGTCTATGGGCTCCAGTAACCACTTGACACCAGGTGGGCTGTGAGCTCCTCCACCCATCTAAGCAATCTTTTTTGTCTCCACCTTATCCCACTAGGTGGGGTCGACACAGCTAATTTTTCTCTTCCATTCTCTTCTGTCAGCCGTCATCTCAACACTCACTCCTCTCTCTCCCATATCGTCATTCACACACTCCATCCATGTCTTCTTCGATCGACCTCTTCCCCTCTACCTTGCACTACCATTTCCATACATCTCCTGGTATGCAATAAATAAATAAAAGCGTAGCTTTAACATTAAACTATATTAAAATACAAATAAGCTTTTTACAAAACATTGAACATTTTCTTATCGCATAGTAATTAAGCTGAGGGCTTAATAATAAAACAATACGATTGGTGAAATGATCAAAACACTGTCCACGTTAATAACTGTCAGATAACATTAGTATTTAAATATTCTCAAAAGCACTGGTCATAATACGGATTAATTTGTGTTACGTTGCGTCGCGGCTGCTGGCGACGAGTGGCGTCTGTAGCCTTGCCAGCAGCTGCATTGCAGCTGGCGTCTGCTTTTGCTCGTTTTGCCGCATCACAGAATCCTGCCCCTCGGTGCGATTCGTTTCTGGTCTATAATATAGGACACACGCAGACTTTTATGCACCTATCTATACTAATATATAAATCTACAGTGGTTTTTACGGATCTTCCGTTGTAATTACTGAACCATTCATGCGATTGACTTGAAATTTCGTATCCATGTAGAAAATATATGTACTTAATGGATAAGCTAATATTTATATGAGTGTTGGACTCCCTACACCAGTTGCGGGGGCGATAATGATGAGAATCTTTGTGGGGGTTAGAAATAATAATGTTAATTTTAAATGCCCAGCGAAGCGGACGGGTACAGCTAGTCTATGTATACTTATATGTCTATTCGTTATAACGAAGCCCTATTTCGAAAGTTAACGACAAATCATTTAGTTTAGATCACTCTTAATGAAATATTATGAATAAATAAAAAGCATTTTTTTCTTGAAGTCCTGCTGAATTGAAATGCAGAGTAATATATCTAGATTTAAAGATGTACTTATTGAGCCGGCCAGATATTATTTATAGTGCATATATTATGTCTTCATTACGTTATATCTAAGTATTCTTACACGATAGATAATATGAAACGCCGGAACGGATATATAAATACATATATAAATTTACTGGTACGTGGCGTGGCATTCGTGATATGCGTAGGTAGATATATACATACAATAGATGGTAGAGCATAGAGCTTACAGCGTCAGTAAAACGTGGATCGGGTGGCCGCCCGTTGTTTTTCCCTGCTGGCTCACAGCGTCGCAGGGGGCTGCTTGGCTAGTAATTTAGTCTCATCGTGATCTAACGTACATACTATATCGTATTATAGATTATCACAGCAATTTCAACTAGAAATGGAATAAAAAATTAAATCGATTCACAGAAAGTGAAGGAAAAGTTGTATCCGTAATTACTGTACGATGGCTGTTACAAAAAAAAAAAACCATTTATAAGCTGGTATTGAATTAAAACCAAAAATATTGATCCCTCTCTGTTTACCTTGTAAGGGCTTCAGCATGAGTCACGTGAAAAGGACTCGTTAAGGCAAATTTAACGAGCCAAAACTCTATGGACTCACTGTCGAAGGATTTTCGTAGCTATTCAAGGATTATATTATACACTTTCCAAATCCATCACGAAATCAGCTTGATGGTACCAAAATATGATCAAGTCATCAAAAACACGCTAAACGAAGTGAATGAAATACCTGAATTAAACAACAAATGTTATTAAAAAAATCTTCAATGAAAGCCCTCAAATGAATAAGTGCAATACGTAGTAACGAATCGATTCGATCAGATCGCGTTCAAATAGCTTTACGATATATATATCTTAAATCGAACGATACCAAAAAGTAATGAGGATTACGCGAAGACGCCGTCAGTGCTATTTGCCACTGCCTAAACTGATCCTGCCACTCCGCTAACACCGGCTGAGATAACGTTATCAAAGATAGCCTTGCGGGGATTCTGTGAAGCCTGCCACATGCTTATACATCTCTCTATAGGTACGTGTATAGTGCTATACGAGTTACCGCTGATGAACTTTCCTCCTTTTGTTTGACCTCGTTGTTTGAATCGTCAATTATTTGTCATTCTGATTGATGCCATCGAACAACCGTGGCCTATTTATGTGTTATAACCTACACATGAATTAACATAAATTTGATTTTTATCCAGTATTTTTGCAACAAACAGTTTCAGTGAAGGGTGAAGTGAATGGTCATTCGGAGAAATACAGATATCCCTTAAAAAAAAAACCTCAGTAAGTTATCAAATGTGAATCAGTTTTACTTCCTCTCTATAAAGTTCAGTGATCGGAACTCCTCAAACGCGTTACACAAAACAGGATGTTACCGTTTTCAACACACACACATACATCGTCCCTCTGGATCGACGAGACCGTGATGTCACTGTAACGAAAAGAGGTCGTTTGTGTTTTGCGGCAAGCACGATGCGTCCAGCCAACGCGATGACCAGAAGAGCGGCGCGCCCCGCTCTTGTGCCAGCGCTATATGGAACAGTATAGGTAGAGTGGTAGACGTGTAAAAACCATACAAGTATCCACCGCGCGCTGCTTGTAGGCGGCACGTAATGTATGCGTGCTCGTTCGGGCTAGCTCCGTT